TAATCCTTTCAAAGAACTAATTTCTAGTCTTGTTGATTCTTTCTATTGTTTATCTTTTTTCCTGTTTCATTTATTTTTGCTTTAATTTTTGTTATTTTCTTTTGGTGACTAGGCTTATTTGCTGTTCTTTTTCTAATATTTGCACATGTTGGGTTAAGGTGTTGATTTTGTTTTTTTCTTTTCTTTGTTTTTGATATGTGCATAAATAAAAACCAAACCAAGTGCCATCAATTCGATTCTGACTCATAACGACCCCATTGGGTTTCCAAGGTGGTAAATCTTTATGGAAATAGAGGGCCCTTTCTTCCTTCCATGAAGCAGCTCATGGGTTTGAACTGCCAACCTTCTGGTTAACAGTCAAGTGCCTCATGCACTGTGCCACAAGAGCTCCTTTCATATGTGCATATATTGCTATAAATTATACTCTTTTCACTTACTTATGCTGAGTCCCCAAAATTTTGGTATGTGTATTTTCACTGTCATTTGATTCAATAAACTTTTTATTTCATTTTTCTAAATTTCTTCTATTTTCTATTGGTTTTGAAGCAGAATGTTATTAATTTCTATGTATTTGATTTTGTTCCTTCTTATTCCTCTTCTTGATGTATAACTCTGTAGCATTTTATCTGAGAAGGTGCTTTAGAGCATTTCAATGTTTTTTTTAAATTTTTGAGGCTTGCTTTTGTCCTAACATATGGTCCATTCTGGAGAATATGCCATGGGCACTGGAAAAGAATCTGTATTGTGCTGTTGGGTAGAGTGTTCTGCATGAATCTATGAGGTCTAGTTTGTTGATGTGTTGTTTACATCTTGTGCATCTTGGTAGAGTTTATTTCTACTCCATTCTTCATCAAAAGTGGTGTATTAATGCCTCCTATTATTACTATGAGGCTGTAGAGTTCTCTTTTCAATTCTGTTAGTTTGATTTATGTATTTTGGGGCTCTTTCATTGGATGCATAGGTATTTAATATGGCTATGTATTCTTATTGGATTGATCCTTTAATCATAATATGATGTCCTTCCTTGACTCTTTTGCTGGTTTTTGCCTTAAAGTCTTTTTTATTGGGAGCTCTAGTGGCATAGCGCCTAAGGCATTTGACTGCTAACCAGAAGGCTGGCAGTTCAAAACCACCAGCCACTCCTTGGAAGGAAGATTGGGCAATGTACTTCCATAGTGATATTGCCTCGGAAACCCAAGGAGGGGTCGCTAGGAGTTGGATACGGCTCGACGGAAATGAGTTTGGTTTTGGTTTATTGTAATGGTATTGTTGCTTGGTTTTTGTTTTAATTTCCAGTTGCTCGTTGCTAGTATATAGACATATGATTGCTTTTTTAAAATATTGACTTCATTTCCTATTACTTTGCTAAATTTGCTTATTAGTTGGAATAGTCTTTTTAGTTGATTTTTATTGCAGACTCATCTTCAGCAGGCATTTTCTCTGGCAATTCTGTGTGTTCTAATTGTCTATATTGATCTGTTTGGACTTAACTCTATCAGGGCTTTTAGGCTTCAGAAGTGGCAAACCTATTTTATGTTAATATCTCAGGTTAGATTTCTGGGAACAGTTGATTAATGCAAGTACACACTTTCATAAGAGTATGTGTATGGACTTGTGATTCTGTGTTCTCATTTTTGTCCTCCCTCCTTGTCCTCCTCCCTTCTCTCCTTCTCTCTTTCTCTTTTCCTTTCACCTATAACTCAGAGAAAACATCCCCTTCAATATTGTTTTCCTAGATAGTAACTAGAATTGTATAGTTCCTATTTTAAGGCTACAACAGCCCTTCACAACTCTTTGTTTTGTTTAGCTACATTTGCCCTAAACACAAGGTCTCTGGCCTCATTTCTGTCCTTCCACACATGGGAACTAAAACTCCATTCTGATTGCTAAAAATCTGTTCTCATACCTCTATCTTAAGCTGTTGTTCACCACTTTGATTTTTCTCTATTAGTACTTAATTTTTACATTTATGCTTTCACATTCTGTAATGTACTTTTTTTTTTTTTTAATATTTTATCTAGAACATCTCTGTGTTTAGGCCAGGAGGAAGGGGAATCTCCTTTCATGTAGTGCCTTACGCACTACACTACCAGACCTCCTTCATATAGTCTAGCTTCTCAGATTTTTTGCTCAGCATAACCTACTACTTTCCTAATGAACACCATAGTTGTGCATATTGTCCATGAGTTCTGTGTGGCCATTGCAGTGAATTATCAAACCCAGCAGAGAAGTAGAGAGTGCCCTGAGAGGGGAGGTAGGTGTCAGAATTGGTAAAAAAAAGATTGGAGAGAAGAGTTATATCTAACTTCCACATCAAAGAAATCAGCCTTGGCCTGTTAATCTTGACTCTCCTCCCATCTTGTGAAGGTAGACAAGGAGGTCTGATGCCATTTTTACAGTTGTTGTTGTTGTTGTTGTTGTTAGGTACTATCAAGTTGGCTCCAACTCATGGCAATTCTTTGTACAAGAGGATGAAACAATTTCCGGACGTGTGCCATCTCACAGTGGTTGCTATGCCTGAGCCTGTCAATTACAACCTCTGTGTCAATTCATCTCATTGAGGGTCTTCACATTTTTACTGACCTTCTATTTTACCAAGTGTGATATCCGTCTCCAGGCACTGGTGCTCTGTGTCAACATGACCAAACTATAAGAGATAAAGTCTTGCCATCCTCTCTTTTAAGAAGCATTCCAGCTATACATCTTCCAAGACTGATTTGTTATTTCTTCTAGTAGTCCATATTTTCAGCATTCTTTACTAACACCACAATTCAAAGGCATCAATTCTTCAGTCTTCCTTATTCATTGTCTAGCTTTTACA